GAAAAAAATCTTCACTCTGCGTGGCAAAGGAGTGAATAAATTAGACTGCGTGGTGTTGTCGGAAGGTGGCGTCAGAGGCTGTGTTTGACAACAGAGTAGAAGAAGCTGGAAACAGAATCAGCTGTTTTCTAACCGCTAACTGCAAAAACCCTATCGAAGAAGAAAAAACAAACAAAACTTTTGAGATCTGCACAAGAGCAATTGAAAGAAATCTTCAAGAATTGTTTTCAGTTGGGAAAATTGTAACTATTCCTCCATGTCAGCCTGGATCGGCCATGTTTCATGCTGTCTGGGGGTGAAGACAAAAAAAAAGAAGTGAAAGCAGCTGTTCAGTCATGCTAGGTTAATGTTCGCTACGTCAGAACTCATTCAAAACAGTTGTTTCAATCTCTCATGAACCGCACTCACTCTTCTTCGAAAAGTTCCCAAATTGTGTCAGTTGAATGTAGAAATGTTGAGGCAGTTTTTAAAAATTTGCCATTTCCATTAACTTTTTCCAATGTGATCATTCAAAATACAAACAGAAATACATCATAGAAACACAACTTGTGTGAGAGAGTTGCAGGAAGAAAGACTTATACTAAATTGTGGAGTACCACAAGGGTCCATCATAGGTTCCCTTCCATTCATATTGGATGTTGTTTTGGGGCATACACATAAAAAAAGAGGTTGGTAAGTGAACCGGCATGTTTGGGGGTTTTGAATTAGTCTTATTGCAATTTTTTGGATGCAGTTTCTGATTGCATACAGACCTTTTTTGCATGGATTTTACCCTAGTAAAAAAAAAACATATCTGCTGGTGTCATGTAGATAAAGACATGACTTGTTTTGGGAAATCAGTTCTTACTTTATTAAAAGGATTAGTTTGTGATTTTAGAAAATTAAGTCATTTGTTGTCTTGCCCATTGTCAGCTGACATGATTGATATCTCTCTCGTAACTGCATCCGTGTAACTAGCTTAGCATGATGACCGGAAACTGCTAACCCCAGCTCAAAGTTGGCAAAATCTGCCTGGCAACACAAAGTTCACTGGTTAAGACATTATATCTTGTTTGTTTCGTGGGTTAAACAGTGGCTTCCTGAAGTCTCTCGAGCTGTGACCTCGTGTTTCCACTTTTGATGCTAAGCTAAGCTGCCAGACAGCTATTAGAGTCATATTGATCTTCTCGGTCCAAAACAAAAATGCCAGACTATTCCTTTAACGAATGAGCCACCGCTCACAAGAGACTCAAACACTCACATGAGTGTTACCTAATCAGCCAGGAATGGCCGTGTTGTGTGGCAAAAGACTCGAGGTGTGAATGCCAAAAACTGCTAACTTAGCCTGATAATTAAAGCCAGCAATGATGTGGGTTTTATGTGGAAAACTGGCAAAAGATAGAGGGGAGGGGTGCCAGACAGATGGACTGTGAACTGTGTCTGAGCCATTTTAGACTTGATTGAAAGTGAAAAGAGCAGCAGTGTCACCATCACATTCATCCCTGTGGCCGGAGCAACAATAGGCTTTAACCTGACAGACACAGACGGAGGAAGAAGGAGGGGCCTCAGTCCAAAGCCAAGAGAGAAAGAGAGATCTGCGCTCCCAGCTGTGGGAAAAGACTTAATACTGAATATCATCCACCGTCAAAACTTCTACCCTCATCCAAAATGCTAGGCCGGAGTTTAGGAGACAAGTGCAGCGATGACTGATGACTGACAAGACATTATTTAGACGGCTCGGAGGGAAGATAGCTCTCAAATGTTCCCCCGATGCTTTTAAGAAATGCACTCCCCTGATTTTTGCCTGATCTTTGGCTCTCCACTGTGATGATTTCAGCACTGGAAGATCAAATTTGGACTCCCTTACGCTAAGCTGTGGTTAGCGCAAATTGGCTTTACAGGTATATCCATTATAGAGACGGAGGGGAGGAATGGAAAGCCATTTCTGACATTTACAATATTACTGCGCTGCGAGACACAAAGATTGGTTGGACAGGCAGACTCAGTGGGAGGGAGAGATTTCAACAATTTGGAGGACTCTTTATGTCTATCACTGGCAGATGCATCAGCCTCTTTCCCTCCGTCCCTCTGCAGTCTGTTCCCTTCACAGTGTCTCACTTATCTTTCCTGTCATAGTCAGATGCCTCGTTCGGTTCAGCGGACAGTTCGTCTCGTCCTGTACTTTTGTTAATCGATCGATGCGCTGGTTGGTTGACAATATTAGATTGCTCTGTGGGCGTGTGTGTGTGGGTATGCCGCTGCGAGCAGGTTCGCGTTCGGTTGAAATGCAGCCAGTTAGACCAGGTTGTCAGTATGTCGGCCAACAGATCGGTCGGTGGGATGCACGTGGCTGCGGTGGCTGCAGGGTCAGCAGCTATGTGGATGTGTTTGTCTTGCGGTGGGTAGTTCAGAATGAAAATAGACCAACGTTGTAAATACTGAGGGCTGTTGCCGGAGATACCAAGAGAATGAAATGCAAGTTCATGACACTATGGCACTGCACAGGAGCTCATACCCGAAATATTGTACATCCGTCAGAAGTTGTCAGAAACTCAGCGTCCTTACCACAAGTCAGGTGGTGTTGCTGCATTGGTACGAGCCTAAGCTGTAGTTATTGTGTCTGTATTTTGGAGCTTCTTTGTTGACCCGAAGGTGTCAGCTTGTCTGTTTGCAGGATGTGGCGAGTTCACAAGTTTCATCTCGTCTCAGAATCTACTGTGGTCAGTGGGTGTGACAGTTTGTGGGTTCATGCTGTCGTCTGCCTCGTCCCTCCCTCTCCTGTAGCTCTTTATCTCTCTTTGTCTTAGTGAAAGCAGTTTGCAGTTGATTGGATCTCACCGTGTGTGTGTGAAGGGGTGCTTCCTCGTGTGTGTGCGCTTACAGCATTTGGTTTGGAAAAGCCTATTGTGGGATTTTGCCAGGGAGATGGCTTAAAACGCGCTTATTAGGCAGCTCTACCATGCTGGCCCATACCCCAGAATTTAAGTGTCTGTGTGTGTGTGTGTGTCCGTGTGCGTTGCGCTGGTGTTTGTTAGTTTGTCAGAGGTTTAGATATGAACCTTTCTCTCCCATCCAGGTCTAAAATAGCCGTATCATTGCTTTCCAGTTAGCTTACTCCCTTTATGGCTCTCTCGCTCTCTCGTCTTTTTAGCTGTGAAAGCAGCGCCGGTGTTGCTATGGTTTGGTGAGATACAGTAATCCAATGTGTACACACACACACACACACACACACACCTCAGCTCATAAATAATTGACCTGTCACAGTGAGACGACATGACAGACCAGATACACTCTCCCCTCCTCTATTCTCTTTTCTGCTCTCACATTTCTCCTCCTATCGCGTCGCCTTTATCCTCTGCTTCCTCACTCTTCCATTCTTTCACTCAGACAGTTTTTTTTTGTTCCACCTTTACCTCGTCTTTTCCTTTCTTGTCACATTATTTCATTTAGCACCAGGGCTGAACAGGAACTCTGCAGTGGAAGGCACCAGGATAAAAATAAAGGAGGGGGCTTCATTCGTTCTTTGCTTCAAGTAATTAGATAAAAGTTTAAATAAGTTATGAGCTGCTCTGTATTCAAAATATGGCTGTGGTCTTATTTACTGTTTAAAAGGCAAAGTGCAGTAGCTGGTGATGATAGCAATCAGTTAAGAAAAATGGTTGAAATAACTTTCTCCAAGACCTGGAATGCTAAAGTAAATGTATATGTATAGATATATATTATAAAAATGAAACCATTGTGCTTCAGTAGGTAAAAGTGAGGCACAAGGCATGATGGGAGATGCCAGTTATTAAACTTGTCATTGATTAAATGAATAGAAAACCGCTCTTTGACATCAGACTGTCAGTGGTTCCTGACCTTTGTGTGTCAAAAAAGACATTATTCTAACAAGTGGAGGCAAAATAGAAGAGAATCTATAACAGAGCCTTGAGGTACTCCACAGTCCTTCTTTTCCTTATTCGCTAGAAACTGGATTCCTCGTGTTACACATAAATTTGATAACCTTTTAAAAAGCAACAAAAGAAGCTTTTCTAAGCGTTTTTTTATTCTTCTTTCTGTGCAAAATAGAGAGAATATATGTAAGATTTATGCCAAAGTTGTCTCTGTTAGTTGAATTCTTTGAGAAGTTGCCTTTTGGTGTCATGGAAGCGGGGACAGTGTTTTCAGTATGTGACCCAGATTTAATGGGTCGCCTTTTCCAAAGTTGCGCCACTAAAGGCCAGCGCATTCAGTTTTAATCTTTTGTTAAAAGTTGCAGTTGAACACCATAAAGACCACAGCTGTTGCGCGGCCGATGGCCAACATGCGCAAGCCCGAGAGGGAATAACAAGTCAGTAGTTGGTGTTCACAATCCATCCAGCCAGTGTGCGAAATTGGCCCAACGGCTACTTGTAAGGGCCAACGAAAGCCAACAACGCCTGACATACCACAAAAAGAGCAGGAAATGCTTGCCCACGGACGCTCAACAACAGCCCCAGAGAGGCTGACAGTAAATGGTCAGCCTGGTGCGTGAGGGCTCTAAAGATTAACTATGCAATGCAGAGTTGGAGTTTATTTATTTAGCCAACTATCCATACAATCCTGAGGGCAGTATGTGTGTGTGCACGAGGGCAGGAAGTGATCCCACCCTAGCAACCCCTTTTTCACCGCTCACACACACACAAATGCATAGAGACATGCAGAGAGAGTATCAGATGGCACAGTGCCCCGTCGGAGAAGTCTCATTAAGATGTGTGTGTTTTGTGCTGAAGGTTCACTCTGTATGTTTGTAGAGGCTCAGATTACCACAGATGCTCCTTTTCTTCTCCCCTCGTGCTTTTTTTTCTCCTCCTCCTTAACAGTCCACACAGAAGGAGCTAAAGACTGAAGTTTAAACAAAGGAAGCGGCTGAAAAATTTCGATGAAGTCAAAAGACTTGAAAACGAACATAACGAAGCACATTATACGAGTGGTCTCATTGAATCGCAGTTAATGGAAGCGTTTTGATCTCACTCCTCTCCTCTTTCTTCCCGTCTTTGCAGGATTTCACCTCAGCGGCACAGTAACCGAACCTGCCACGTCGTCGGAGCCAGAGGTCACCCACAAGGTGGCCATCAGCTTCGACCGCTGCAAGATCACTTCTGTCACCTGTGGCTGCGGGAACCGAGACATTTTCTACTGCGCGCATGTGGTGGCACTCTCTCTTTATCGGATTCGCAAGCCCGAACAGGTAATAACCACAACATAGAACATAAAGTGTATCTTTGAACCCTTGGCATTAGACTGACGTCCGCTTTGTTTTCAGTCAAACCAGAACACAGTCAGCATGAATCCGTCCAATGTGAGCGGTGATAGCTTCCCTTTGTGTTATTTTAAGAGCCCATATAATGCTTGTTCTGTCTTTCGTTTTCCTTTTGTGTGTCATACAGCTGCAGTTTTGTGCATGTAAAAGGTCTGCAAACTTACAAAGTCCACAGTAAAGAGAGTTATTCTCTCACACAGAAAGCACTGCTCCTCACCTGCCTGAAACACCTCATTTAAAGTTTGGGATTTAAATTTTTATTGCCCTGACCAATCAGAGCGGGTTGGGATTTCAGCTGGGCAGCCTTAAAGAGACAGGAGCGAGCACAAACGCTTTCAGAGATGATGAAAAGATGTGCTTCAGCAGTGTATAGTATGAATGAAGTGTTAACTGATCATCAAAGCGTGTTAAACATGTTCTACCCCACCCTAGAAATACAATTTTAAACCTGTAAATGTGCATAATGTGGAGGGTTTTTTCAGGATAGACGTTTATAAATCTGTTTATAAATGGCATAAAAAGGTGCTTTTTATGATTTCAAATCTTGCCTCAGATGCAGTATATTGCTAAAACATATTTATGTAATAAAACTTGATGGAAGCAATAGTTCCAAAAGTTTTCATTTAATTTAAGGGAGACTTTTTTACATAATAAAACATTTTTTTTGACACCAGTAAGGTCGGAAATGTCCTGTTATATGATTCTTTTCGTGCCTTGAATGTTGACACGCTCCTCGAGTTGTTAGTATGTAGATATGTGGTGTGTCAGAAGCATTTTGATATCCAGAAATATTCATAATTTCACCAAAGTTTGTCATAAAAGCTGCCCTAGAACATGTATAGAAGCACTGGGTGATAAATAAATATAAACAGGTGTTGTATTTGGATCCCTAAGATCAAGATTTCATTCCAGCTGGCATGATTGTCAGATACCTGCCATCAGGCTAACTAGCAAGTAAAAGGCCACTGGTTTAAAGTTTTAAAATGCATGCAGTTGACATATCTCACACCAAAACTTCTGTGTGTGTCTGATGCAGGTGAAGCTACGGCTGCCTATCTCAGAGACTTTGTTCCAGATGAACAGAGATCAGCTGCAGAAGCTGGTCCAGTATCTGATCACAGCCCACCACACTGAGGTGCTGCCCACTGCTCAGAAACTGGCCGACGAGATCCTCTCCTCCAACTCCGAGATCAACCAGGTTCACGGTGAGACCGCAGCCTCTTCATGTCATGTTTGGACTTGTTGTGAAAATTCACACGAATCAGATGTTTGCTGGAGCAGCTTTGGTGTCTCGCCTATCCGCAAAATCCATCTGAAGCTGATTTTTAATGCAATATAGCAGCAAATTGGAAAGTACATTGCTTTTCTGTGTTTTTGAAAAGTTCTTGCTCTGCGGAGGTGCTGTCCATCCCTCTGCAGTGATATCTTCACAGCGACAGGCCAGACTTGAAAGCCTCCAGACTTAAAACATGCTGCATGCTAGCCTACAGGCTGTCATACGTCAGAGCCCCTGATTACTCCAGCGAAGCAGCAAGCCGGGCTTCAAATGGCTCGTTTGATTTCTTAGTTCCCACTCTCCAGTCGGTACCTCCTCCCACTGGCAGGGGTAGGTTGAAGAAAGCAAGCAAAAAAAAAAAAAAAAAGGAGTTGAATGATGAAATGGATGCAGGAGAGAGAGAGAGAGAGAGAGAGAGAGATGTGTGGAAAGGAAAGGGACACTGAGAGGAAGAGACAGGAGAAATGGCACTCGGGGAAATGGGAGAGAGGAGAGGAGAGATGAAAGGGTCGGAGAAAGTATTGAGATGAAAAAGGCGAGTAGAACCACAACAGTCCTGCATCGGGGAAACGACAAACTAGACACATCCTTTCACCAAACAAAACTCTTTATCTCTTTCTCTATTTCATCCTCCCCGCGAAATGTTGACATTCTCCAGCTGTCCCGTCCAGGAAGCCCCGCGCTGCGCTTCCTGTCTGTGTTTGACAAGGGGGATCATGGGGGTTGAAGTTCAGTTGATCAAGGCGCGAGCCCGTCTTTGATGGAGGAATGTTTCTGTTTGCTGCGGCGTTCTGCGAGCCAGTTGGAAACACATCTCTGGGCTTTCCTCAGCTCGCTTCCTGCTAGATCAAAGCAGCTTCCCCCTTCGGTGCACATCTACATTTCCCCGTAGTATTAGTCAGACACACACACTCGGAGCCAAACAGCAGAAAAACAAAGTTGGTCTTATGGTCCCTCGATGCGTGATTAACCTAAGTCAAGCAGCGTTTCATAAATGTCACGTAGGTGCGCAATAGGTCACATGTAAAGCAAAGTGGGGATGAAAGCTTGGATGAAGCATCAGTGTTAAGCTGAGGGAATAGGACTGTTTTTACAGGTGAGCCTGCAAGTAAACTCCATTTCCCATGATCCCCATCTGTTTATTTTTTCTTTGAATGTGAATTAAGTGCAGGAAGGAGCAGAGTTTCCAACTGATATGTAGAATGCATTGCTTTTTTCATACACTTCCAGCACTGTAGGATTGTGTTTACTTGCCTTGAACCATGTGTGTGTGTGTGTGTGCGTTCTCAGGTGCTCCAGACCCGACTGCAGGCGCCAGCATTGACGATGACAACTGCTGGCATTTGGATGAGGACCAAGTCAGGGAGCAAGTCAAACAGTTTCTGTCGCAGGGAGGGTACTACGGCTCCGGGAAGCAGCTCAACTCCATGTTCGCTAAGGTTCACTTCACCACTTCTTACGCCTGTGTCCTTATGAGATGTGTCATTTACTTTGTTGAGTAGGTAAAGTAACTGCCAAAAGAAAAAAAAAAAGAAGAGAAGAATCAAGAGAAGGCACATAGAAGCTGTTCTGGCAGCACATGGCCGACTGAGACACTGTATGTTGGGTTTTCCTTTAATTTGTCACCTGTCTGTATGTTGTGTTGTCTCTGAAGCAAGAGGGAAGATCGAAGCTTTATAGATTTCTCTCATCAATAGAATATTAGTTTGAATAGACTCCTAAAACGGACATTATCACAAAATGTCACTTCAGCAACAGCATCTTTCATCTTGTTGTTTAGGTTTTATGGTGATCAGTTTTAGCCGCAGCTGTTCTCAGCAAATAAATACATTAAAAAAAAATCTCTTTATTCAAGAATTTAGTTTTGGTCCTCCATAAATTTTCGAATAAATTAAAACCAGAAAGTTCAAAATCACGACATCAGACAAACGGATAACCTGACTTGAACAACAGCTTCATAACCTCGTTTGACATTTCCCATAATACAACTGAATGAGGTCTTTCATGAGGCCCTCAGCGACTTGCGTCTGCATGTCCTGGCAATCACGGCTAAGATCTGTCTGAGAATATCTTTACCCTCTTCAACTTCAATTTTTTTCTCCAGGCATTAACAGATCTTGAATATGGTTAAATATAGCTTTGTAAATCCTCAAAGTGACTGTAGAGGTTTTCTTTGCACTTTCTTAGCGCTCTTTGTCTGACTGAAACAAGTCCACTTATCGCTTTCACATGAACCAGAGCTCTCGGTTTCAGGGCCAAACTGCTTCTTCAGTTTTAAGTGTCATTTAGAAGGTTTCATACAATCTTAAATGTAACATTTAGCCTCACATATACTTCATGAAAAGAGTATTTCCATAAGTCATAAAAGGTCGTGTCCATTCATCCAAGTTAGAAGTAGACAAGTGTCATATCTGGATTTTAGACACTTGCTTCTATTTTTTTTAGTCGTATTGAAATTGCTTTTCTTTGCATTTTGGGAACTACACTCTTTTACTTTCTTGCCAACAGTTAGCTCAAGATACAACTCAAACTGTCCATTCAATAAGAGGTGTTTATATTAGCTTAGCATAAAGACTGTTATTGGAGCGTAACAGCTAGCCTGCCTCTGTCCAGAGAAGGCTCGTGAATCACGTATGTTCACCTGAGCTGTTTGCCTTCTTTTTTTCTGATTTGCTTCCCTTTCCTGCTTGCAAGATATAATTAAGCATTTAAACAGTTTTTTTTCTCTCCTGCAATTCATTCTGATGAGCATCAACAGCGCATGAAAGCAGCTCGAACTGTCAGAGTGACTAATCCTGTTCTTTTTCCAGGTCCGCGAGATGCTACGAATGCGAGACTCCAACGGTGCCCGGATGCTGACGCTCATAACGGAGCAATTTATGGCGGACCCCCGGCTGTCGCTATGGAGACAGCAAGGCACGGGCATGACAGACAAGTGTCGGCAGCTTTGGGATGAGCTGGGTGAGAGCACAGCGGAAGAAACACGCTAACATAAAGGCAAAATTGTCCAATCAGCTCGGTTGCTGTTGCATCAGCAGGTCAGGCGGTTCAGCACAAGTGCGCATTTAGGTCGTCGCTCAGACAAATATCTAGTCACCTTGTCGGGTAAACGTTCATCCACCCGGTGAGCTATTAGCTTATCCAGTGAGCTGCTGCTCCTCCTGCCCGGGCCTCTGCTTCCGCTCCCTCACAGAGTGAATGATAAAGGCTGCCGATCAATACGGCTGCTCAGCTTCTCTGCAATCAATCTCAGCATTTAGGAGGTCAATAAGAACACTTCCCGGGTGAGCTGGGGAGATCATGACACAGACGCAGACAGAAATAACAGCCAGACGGTCAGGGTTTGGCTGCCTGATCTTTTTTTTTTTCCTTCAGAGATGCAGACGTCTGGCAGTTGACACAGGTGGAGGGTTATTTATGTAGAACAGGTGAGTTTAGTGCAGGTCAGCGGAGAAGGCCGCCGAGCTGCCTGTCGGGAATACCAATGTCATTTTAATTTGAGGACTGACGCACGACGTTTCAGCTGTAATGCTCAGCATTACTACTGGCTGAGTGTTCTTTAAGATTTGCAATTGAAAATATTGTATGAGGGCAGGATTTTGTGAAACCTTCAGTTATAATGGCTGTTGTGATAGTTTTCAAGGCAGTTTAAAAAAAACAAAAAAAGAAGCACATTCTTCACATTATCAGCCATAAAAACACGACTACATTCAAAATGCATCACCGGGTGGAATTTAGGTTTCAGTAGCTGGTAGATTCTTTTCTGGCGGCAACCAGCAATTATTCTAAATATCTATTGATGCTGTATTTGTTTTCCTGATTAGAACACTGATTATTTAGTCTATCCGATATGCGAAAGGTGTTAAAATCACAGTTCCCGGCTTGAGGATGTATCTCCAATTTGTTTGTTTTGTTCAAACAACAACCTACATTTATGGGATGTTCAATATACTGTACGTTTACTGAATAGATTATACATGATATGCTGTTTTTATAGTGTCAAGGGCATAAAATTCTACATTTAGTTTTTTTTATTTTTAATGCCGAGTCATAATAACTTGCAACAAAGATTCCCAAAGCATTTGTGTGGCTGTAATTATTGAAAAGATGTAGCTAAGAACAACCCAAGACCTCTACTGTATTCTCATTACATAGACAGAAATCAGTTTGCCAGGAGGACCAGGTTTGTGAGATTTTACTTGAAGCAGCACTAGAATTATTAGATGTCACTGTTTACTTTCCTTCCAGGTCATAAAGTACAATAGGAAAATAAAAAACACAGCCACTTTTTGCAGCGTTTCAACAATCAGGCCGGCTCTAACGATGGTGGCACATAAACAGCTCGGTTCACTCAGTTAGGATCACGCTTAGAAGAGCCTCCGCTGCATCCTGACCTCTCACCGCCATCCTATCCCCAGGTGCATTGTGGGTGTGCGTGGTGCTAAACCCCCACTGTAAGAGCGAGGAGAAGAGCGGCTGGCTGAAGCAGCTGAAGAAGTGGGGGGACATGGACGTCTGCCCGCTGGAGGACGGCAACTACGGCAGCGAGCTTCCGAACATCACCAACGCTCTGCCGCAGAGCAACCTCGCACAGGGTCAGCACGGAAACACACACACGTGTTGTAATGAAAGCGTACTGGAACATATTGTGTGAATGTGCAAAGTTTTTAGAGATAATCGCTAAATCTCCGTGCTGCTCGTGTCGCCTCAGACTCTCTGTCCAGGCCGAGGAGGACGGTGTTCAGTCGGGCCGTCGAGGCCTGCGACCTCCACTGGCAGGACAGCCACCTCCAGAGAATCATCAGCAGCGACTACTACATGTCTCCGTCCTACCAGAGGGAGGGAGAGAGTCTGCTGTTCAACCCACAGGGCCTGCCACTGTGGCTAGGTACAAGTTCATGACTCATTTCCTGGAAAAGCAACCGTAGTTACCTATTGCATCATTTAAACTGTGCAACATATATGTGCAAACATCTATTATGAGTTATTTGTACATTTATTTAGGCTCCAAACATGCAGCGAGCATCACACGCATACTTTCTGCATTACAAGAGTGTCAGACAACCTCATTTTCAGGCAGAGAGATAGCGTTTGTGCGACAGTTTAACACACATACACAGTCTCCTATTCTACTGAAAGCCGACCCAAACACACATACAGACTGTGTGTGTGTGTGTGTGTGTTTGGGTCGCTGATCTGCTGATATTGAGGCCAGCATCTGCAGTAAGCAGCTTCCAGCTAAGATCTGTCAGATTCTGCAACTTAAGCCAGCTATCAGACACACACTGGCTTTCTGCTGAGACTGCACTGTGTGTGTCTGTGAGAATGTGTGTGTGTGTATGTGTGTGTGTGCCATTTCTAACTACACTGCATATCCCTCAGTGTGGAAGTGTGTGTTGTGTGTCTGCTAGTGAGAGAGTCAGTGGTAAAAGTTTGAAAGAAAAATGCATGTGTGACTGATTGTAGGAAGGTGTTGTTTCACTGTGTGTACATGTGAAGCTGTGCTGACCCTCGTTGTCGCTCTGACCGCCACAGATCACGTCCCAACGGCGTGCGCACGTGTCGACGCCCTGCGTTCCCACGGTTACTCCAGGGAAGCCCTGCGATTGGCCGTCGCCATCATCAACACGCTTCGCCTCCAACAACAGAGACAGATGGACATCTACAAACACCAAAAGAAAGGTAACACACACACACACACACACACACACACACACACACACACACACAAAAGCCGTGCTTCCAGAATGTCTTGTAATTCTTACTTAGTGTTGAATTAGAAAAGGTTAAAATGAAACAGCAGAATTTAGAAAACCTTCCCCTGTTTCACCAAAAAGTTTTTACACTGGTTTGAGGTGGTTTTTGACTTTTTCCAAAAAGAGTTGATGAGCTTCATCGAGAATGGAAGAACTTTTTTTTATATAAATTCTCACAGAGCAAACATTTATCCATACGATTGTTCATCTTTTATTGTTTTGCCTCGGGACAGCATGGATTTCTGAATACTTTTCTCCATGTTTTCTCCATTTTTTCTCACAAATCACTGAAGTTTTGTTTGTTTACCCTTCATATTCATTGTTTTTAGGCAGTTTGCCAACAACTGCTTTAGTTTTCACCGTTTTGTACTTTGTGATTTTTGGTTGCATCATTTCAAAAATTTGCTTCAAATGTACGTGACAACTCCATGGAAACCAGCTACACACTTACATACATTCCTATTTGTTTTTTGGAGCTCGTGCACTACCTCAGTCATTTTAACTTAGACTTTCTCTCCCTCCCTTTTTCATGCTCAGAGCTCCTCCAGAGAGGCGTCACCTCCACCACCAACCTGGAAGGCTGGGTGGGTCATCCCTTGGACCCCATTGGCTGTCTGTTCGTCACGCTCACAGAAACCTGCCGTGTAGATGACGACAACACCATGGACACCGGAGGTATAGAAACACACGTGTAGTTCTGTTTCTTACTATTTAATAAGAATTGTCCCAACAGATCATCACGAAAGCCTTTATTTATTATAGGGACAGCAAGTTCAACGGAATTTTTACACGTTTACGAAGAAAAATAGCTGTTGTGTCACTTTTACGTAGTACTCTATCTGTAAACTAATGTGAAACTATTCATCAAATAGGTGAGAAGTTGATTGGCAGAAACTAAATGTTCAATAATTCTGGCAATCAACTAATTAATCACATCATTTATCAGCCAACAGGGCTACAGTCATGCTTGTTGCTGCGCGTAGAAACAGCAGTGCTTTAAAATAAATGCTAACGCCATGCTAGCATGTTCAGTATGCCAACATATTCAGCAGGTGTAATGTTTATAATGCATGCCTTAAGATTCAAATCCTTCACCCACTGTTTCGTCTGCAGCTCTGCCAAGCTAGCCTTCAGTCCTTTAAACCTACACACCAAACCCAAGTCCTAACGCGCATCTCAGCAAGAACACATACATTTGCCCGCAGGCTTCTTACACAACAATATATTACCCAAAGAGCTTATTTGCTAAACACAAGGTGTAATTCTTGGCACACTTCACCAGATGATGCAGTGTAATCCTGAGCAGAGGTGATCGTGTTCACCAGCAGTGACTCATCACACAACAGACTCCACGTTCTTATACGAGCACCAGGCACTATTGTGCTGCAGACAGCCATAAACTAGCCGAGCATGAATGGATCGCGCTGGAACACCCTGCTCATTTAGACCATACTCCTGCTGTGTGTGTGTGTGTTGGGTATGTATAGAATCCATCACCATTTGCATTTCTCACTCTGCCCATAGATTTTATTTGCACCAGTGACCATTGCCACAGAGCAGAATAGGGGTTGGGTTTTCCCATTGTTACCAGGCCACAGGGAACTATTGTCAGTTCAAACAATGCTGACCACTGGCACACTCACCAGTGTGTATATCAGTGTGAATGTGTGTGTGTGTGTGGTGAAGACAGAAAGAATTATTGTCTTGTGTTGTTTTGGGAATTTGAGGAGAGTGGTATGATAATTTTGCGTGCTGGTGAGTATCGCCCGGTCACCATGCTTTCATTCCCCGTGGAAGACAGCTGGGAACATCTGTTATGAAGTAGGCGGATCTGGGCTGTGTGTCACCCAATCCACATGCGCTTCTGTCTCAGAGCTTTTCAAACCCACCAATCAATCGACTGCCCACGGGCAACAAAAAGAAAAAACAAGAGAGCGTTAGCGATGGGGTTAAGTCTGCGAGGCCAGTTTCCACTTTTCCCTAGATTTCTACACATGCACACACACTCACTGCTCACATATCCTTGGAATAAACAGGATTTAGGGGGATCTGTTGCTCAGAGGGGATTTAAGCAGAGTGATGGGGAGGGGGGGGAGCAAGAGGGAACAAATGGACACCAATCAACAGCTGAGGCTCTCATGGCATCTGTTCTCAGTTATAGTTGTGAAGCATTAGTGCAGGGCAAGCGGCCATCTTAGATTCGTGAACACAATCGACTAGCATGTCAGACTGATAATATATTGCACACAGCTTTTATTTAACACATAAGTATCGTGCCAGCCTTTGTCTTCTCAAAGAATTTTGCGATTAGGAATCCGCTGCCAGTTCCAGTTGTCTATACGTCTCGTTCTTGTGAATCTCAGGAATGCCTTCGCGTCATTTCCTCATGTTTATCACAAACATTCACTTGGACTCAACAGTGAACTGGTTAAACTTAAAAGTCACTTCGACCTCGACACATTTTTGGCTGTAACTCAAGAATTCATACGGTAATTAATTGAAAAATGTGAAGGTCCAAGGTCACCTTCACTGGAACATCATAATTACATTATTCGACTCCATAACTCAGGAACTGAAGGAGAGATTGTGACCATATTTTACATTCGGTCTGATACTGATTAGTGAAATCTTTTGTTGATTCTTTGTTTTTTTTTTGCCTCCTTGCTTCTTCTGTGTCTGGCTGAATGAATTAAAGGAATAAAGCAGAAGGAGTACACCACACAGAGCACATAACTCAGTTTTCTTTCCCTCTTTCATGTCAGAAGGAGACCCCAGGCCTCCAGTCTACCACCATGTGCCGGTGTGGGGCAGCCCAGATGGGGGGGAGTCCTACCTGACTCTGGCCTTGGAGGTGGCTCTGATGGGTATGGGCCAGCAGAGGATAATGCCTGAGGGACTGTACGCCCAGGATAAGGTAATATTAAGTTCATTTTAGCATGATCTGTGAAGTTCTCAGACACTAATGTTATGCCTTCATAGAGAATACAGTAATGCTGGGATGCTTGGCTTGCTAACTCATGCTAACTGAAATACATTCCTGCCTTATAGCATATTTTTAAAAAAAAGGTGGTGTGAATTAGCAAGTCGCAGACGATGTCGCCATGATAGAAAATCACTATAATTTACCATGTGTTTGAAGTAAATGCCATACAAGAAGAGAGAAAAGGTCGTGGCATTTTTGTTTCTTGAAAAATAAGGAGAAAGTCACAGTAGTTAAGTTCACTGTGAATTAGAATAAATCCCAGGAACATTTCTTTGTGTAAATGGTAATCTCTTTTAGAGGGCTTAACACGGCCGTCACAGACCTTTCTTAATGTCACCGGAATTAGCAACAATATTAATGTTTTAGGCAAGAGTCGCATTTAAAACCAATCACATGTTTGAGAGGACCTTGGACTGGATCTTTGGCTGGAATCAATTTCTGTCATGTGTGCTAGTGATACATACGCAAGAGTGTGAGGTTTTGAAGTACCCTGCCGGTCCTTTAATGCCTCCAACTCAAAATCCCTTCTTAAAAAGGCATTAAAACTTCAAAGATCTTTTCTCCTACATCATAAATGTGACTTACTGCATGTGTTGGGAATTGACTGTATAGTTACAGTGAGTGCTGTTTGTGTTTTCCACGTGTTCTAGGTCTGTCGTAATGAGGAGCAGATTGTTGCAAAGCTGCAAGAACTGGAGCTGGATGATCTCCTGGTTCAGACGCTTCGGAAACAGGCCATTCAGCTACTAGAAGGTACAACGATCGGAGCATCCTCCTAAAGCATCCAGAGAACTTTATTCTCATATAAATGGGCGGATTTCCTATCAGATTCCAAATGTTGAGTTTGATGAGCCAGGTATTTCAGTCGCTGTTTGCTGATATTGACACTTCACAAAGTGGAATTGTCCATTTTTCATTTTCTATCTGATTTATTTGGACTATGTGGCTGAAAAGCTTGACCCATAATACTGATTTAGCTGAATCAGTGTGTACCACCAAGACCTTGCCTCACACAAAATGGTTCATTTGGCACACTGATAAAGATAAATCAAACCTTACTTTGCCTTTCTCTCGGCTCCAGCTGGTCCGTTCAGCGGTCTGGGTGAGGTCATCCACAGGGAAAGCGTTCCAATGCACACCTTCGCCAAGTACCTCTTCTCGGCCCTGCTGCCCCATGACGCAGACCTGGCTTATAAGGTGGCTCTCCGCGCCATGAGGTCAGTTTCCATCGACTGCAGAATTGAACAGCTATGGATTAAAGCTGCTTTATGTTGCGTGTTTAAACATTAACATATCCAGTTTGCCGTCATCAAATGACTTGACATGATACCCTTTATGTAAGTAAGGCCACTGTCAGGATGAATAATGGCCTTCGTCTCATGACATCGTATTATTAGCTCTAGCGTTTCGTACAAACCCAATTGTCTGCTGGGACAAAGAGGATCTTTGCCTCGAAAGTCAATGCATTCCTAATTGCTTTGCTTTACCTCGGACGATAAATAAGTTGGAAGTGATTATGTTGCGACAGCTAAAGTTTCATTTATGCTCAGATTACAAATGTTAGTCATGGCGCACAATGCAAGGTGAACACTTCAGCTTCTCAAACGAATGCAGGAGGCCTGTAATAAAACCTTTACAGGGGGGTTAATGATCATTTTAGGGGCTGATATACATAACACAGTTTAAGCAAAAGCTGAGAGGCAGGGTTTAGTGCAGGGATGCATTAGTGTTAGCTAATGAGGATGCTTATAAGACACACCTAACTAGAGTGCATAGGGGAGGTATACTCTGGTATGGTGTTGTGTTATCTTGAATTGCTCCATGTAGTGTGTTTAAATAAAGGCAGTATCTGAAACAATCTGGCTTTATTATTAATTCTCTGAAACCCAAGCAGTTTCTGTCATATTTGTCCTCGCCATGGGCCTCTTTTTTCACTGCAATATAAGATCCTGCATCTCTATAGAAACCACACAGTCATGGCTAGAAGTAGAGAGAACTCAGAAATGTCTTACGATGCCATAAATCATAAAAAAGGCCCCAAAAAGTTACACTTTTTTGATTATTTGTTTTGCAAATACGGAAAAAAAATGGAATCAATATGTACATTTCCACACACCCACAGATGTTTAAATAAATGTGGCTCTACATATTAAAATCATTTACTATTTATGGTTTTCGTCTCTACAAACTCAACTCTAGAAAGACCTTTCACCGTGCTGAATGTATCTTCTCCTCTGTGCACCGTTAACTGTTCTCCATTCTATCTTTTTAAAATGTTGCTCTCAGTCTGTGTTGCCTTTCAAACCCGCTGCCAGATTTTGGCATTCAGAGATATTATGTTTCTTTGTAGTATTATTTTTTACTTACAAGCTTATTTTAATGGTTAAATTAACCTTCTGTGCCCGTCAGGCTGCCGGTGCTGGAGTCGTCGGCCGGCTCCGGAGACGTCGGCCACCCTCATCACGGCATCTCCATCGTTCCAAGCAGATACCCGCGCTGGTTCACTCTGGGACACCTGGAGTCACAGCAGTGCGAGCTGGCCTCCACCATGCTCACCGCCGCTAAAGGTACCGTCAGCACATCCGCTCGTCACGGAAAATGCCCACTCAGATGTTACTCTAACAGGGACTGCTTGTTAAAGAGCTGCATCTAGGTCCTAGTTGGTATTCTTTTCTTGTGCCTGCAGGTGACATGTTGAGATTGCGGACGGTGCTGGAAGCCATCCAGAAAAACATCCACTCCTCTTCCTTAATCTTCAAACTGGCCCAGGATGCCTTTAAGATAGCCACGCCCGCAGACAGCCCGCCTGATATAACCCTGCTCAACGTGGCACTGGAGCTGGGACTGCAGGTACTGAGTGTGCACATGAGAGAGAGAGAGAGAGAGAGAGTGAGCTCAGTGCGAAGTATGAGGGCGAGTCAGTAATTTTCACAAATCATTTCACCGCAGAAAAAGATCTGAGCATTGGTCACCAGTCAAAACATGCAACAGTTTCCTTCAACTTGTAATTTTTGCAGGCCTCCACAGCCCCACTACAAATTAACAGAGAAAACATCACACAGAGTTTCACCGTGTTTGATGAGAAGAAACCACATAATTTATGGGTACCACAGTAAACACAGAAAAACTCTTCAGATGATCAGGCAGCAGTGTCGCTGTGGCTTCGCCCGCCTCTTTCTCCTGGTATTTAGAGTATCGCCTGAATTCCTGTCAGCAAAACTGCTAATAAAGTGCTCAGACTGGAAGGGTCACAATTAATCATCTGCAATTATGAGCATATTCTGGATACATCTGTCATCAGAGGAGACGTGGAGCTGCGCTAACCGCTAAATTATGGAAACCACACATAGCATGACTGGTGCATTTTCCAAATGCCAGGGAGGTATTGAAATGTACAGTGTGTCTTTATAGAGATGAGCAGTAAACATCATGTTCCCTGTTTGTGTGGTTTGCAGGTGATGAGGATGACTCTGTCCACTCTGAACTGGAGGAGGAGAGAGATGGTCCGCTGGCTGGTAACCTGTGCCACCGAAGTCGGTACGTGCCACCTCTTCACACCGCTGACAGCCAGCCAATAAAACAGGATTCACGCTCTAATTACGGCCTCCATCGCGTGTTAGGATCTTCTCTTTGGTCTCCTGCGATGTAACTAAATTCAGCTTTCAGGCCGACTTTGTCTTTGAATTGAATGAAAAACCCAGCAAGCGTCTGGTTGGTCCACCGCAAGCAGAGAGAAATACTGTTTTCCCACAAGTTGTTCATTCATTTGATATTTTGATGATGGAGCAGGAGAACGCTGTCTGACACGTCGCTCCATCAGCGGAGGAAGAGGTCACATTTATGAGTGCGTAACCTTTCAGCGGCACAGCCTCAAATGGCCCCAAAGTGTAATGAAAAGATTAAATGAAAACCAAATTACATTTATAGGAATCACAAAATGCAGAGCTGTCTGGGAGGCGGTGGAGGTTCTAACAGCGTGCGGATGGTACACAGACGACTACATCGAGACGTTTCCATTTAAAATGCTGTTTTCAGACGATCTCTGAATCTCTGTGACATCACATCACACGACCATTTACATACACTGCACATGTGTGAACGTGAAGCAAGGGGCTGGTTGCTTAGATGTAGAAAATACGAAACAAGAATGGTGAAAAGTAAGACGAGAGATTTTCTTAACTGCACAACAGCTGCTAGCGTAGACAACAAAGTCAGCAACGCCTGGGATTCATTTTCAACGCTGCAGTGGGCCGATGATAGCCTCAAAAACATGGACTCAGACTGTCAACTTAAGACTTAAAATAAAACATTTCCTGGTTCAAACATGTCTGGCTGAATTACTCCAACACTACAACTTGTCATTGTGTAGCCTGGAGTCGCTTTGCAGTGCTGCAGAGACACACGAGGACTTCATAGATTTGCACGTTGCAGAAGAAGTAACGGTTTAGAATTTCATCTTTGCCATTTTAAGGCAGAAAATAAATATTTTCATTACAACATTTTTCAGGAGTTTAATCAGTGACCAGAGATGGGCTGAAAGCTGACACAGATATCTGCATGATCATTTCCAAAAGTCTCAGTTTCTCCTCATCCAGACCGAAATACAATCCCAGTTTTTCAAGTGATAACAGCATCAGCAGCATTTCCCTAAATCTGTGTTGTAGGGGTTTTAATGCGCTGGAATAGTGTGAGCACTGGGTGTAAATGTGACAGAAGTTATGTGTTTTAAAGTGAAACGTATCCGTGTGGATGTAGCCTAAACCTACGAACATAAAGGCACTGGAACTGAAGGAAACAGCAACACGTCTTTGTTGACTTGTTCAGCTGATAAAGTGACTTTCTGGGAAATGACAAAACTTGAGTTTTGTTTGCAAGAAGGTGCGAAAGGATTCTGATTTTCATTAAACTAGGTTAATATCACTTGAGAATAAAGCACACTATGGTCATAACTCTTTTGTTTTCTGCTCTGCTGTGTCAGATTCTTTCTTTAAAGCAGAATTAACTATAAAAACTCTGACCACCATGTCTTTGTCTCCCATCAGGTCTGCGGGCTTTGGTGAGCATCTTACAGAGCTGGTACACTCTCTTCACACCGACCGAGGCCACCAGCATCGTGGCGGCCACCGTCATGTCCCACAACACCATCCTGCGCCTCAGCCTCGACTACCCCCAGCGGGAGGAGCTGGCCAGCTGTGCGAGGACTCTGGCCCTGCAGTGCGCCATGAAAGACCCCCAGAACTGCGCCCTGTCGGCTCTGACGCTCTGCGAGAAGGACCACATCGCCTTCGAGACGGCCTACCAGATCGTGATCGACGCAGCGTCGACGGGTATGACCTACTCGCAGCTGTTTACCATCGCGAGGTACATGGAACACAGAGGGTACCCGCTGCGGTCCTTCAAGTTGGCCTCCCTCGCCATGACACACCTTAACCTGGCCTACAACCAGGACACTCACCCGGCCATTAATGACGTGCTCTGGGCCTGCGCGCTCAGCCACTCTCTGGGTAAAAACGAGCTGGCGGCCATCATTCCCCTGGTGGTGAAGAGCGTGCACTGCGCCACGGTGCTGTCCGACATCCTGCGGCGGTGCACCATGACGGCGCCGGGTCTCGCCGGCATTCCCGGGAGAAGGAACTCTGGGAAGCTGATGTCCACGGACAAGGCGCCGCTGAGGCAGCTCCTGGACGCCACGATCTCAGCATACATCAACACCACGCACTCTCGACTGACGCACATCAGCCCGCGGCACTACGGGGAGTTCATAGAGTTCCTGAGCAAAGCGCGGGAGACTTTTCTGCTGGCACAGGACGGCCACATTCAGTTCGCCCAGTTCATAGACAACCTGAAACAGATCTACAAGGGCAAGAAGAAACTGATGATGTTGGTCAGAGAGCGCTTCGGCTGACCTTAGCCCTCCCTCACAGAGACCCTCTTCCTGGGAAGTAGTTCAACTTATTTGTTTCTATTTAAAGTTTTTTTGGGGGATTCTTTGTATTTTTACTCCTTATGTTGAGCCATTTGTTGACTAAGTCTTAAGTTTTTGTCCTGTTTTGCCGTTTTGTTTCTTGAATGTGAACCAGGAAGTGTTCGCAGTACATTGCTCTACTTCACTGAGACTGCAAAAAGGGGGGAAAACGGCTTGAAAATGTCAAAGAAGCAACAAGAAAAACAAAGCATTTTCCCTCCAACTAATGCTAAAAATCTAGTATGGAAAAAGTCAAAAAGATTGTGAAGACAAAAGTCAATGGAGCTTTTGTTTTTTTTTTCTGTGGCACATGACGATATGAAAACCAAATGATGTTGTTGGATGGGGTGTGTACTTTGAGCCAGGAGACGCTTTCAGCTGGGGTTAAGAAGAACAAGAGGTGGTTTTCAAAGTGGAAGAAACATGTCATTCCAAAAAAGAAACGAACCACTGAGGTCAAAAAAACACGCGTAGTGTTACTGTCATACCTCGACTGTATTATTTGTCAGCTTTAACTTCTCTATCAGAAATGGCCTCTTGTTTCATTCAGGGCATCTTAGAGTAGAGAGGGCAGAATACAGAACTACACATGTGTGGTCTCTTTGTAGAAGAAGTCAGTACCGGCACACCTGACACCATTTACCTGCTGGTTTCCTCAGAATCGCTTCAGAGGACGAACCACAAGGCTTGTTTTCCAATCCAGAAGCATGAGAGTGACGTTACTTAGGCTGCTCTAGCTGAAGTAGAGTAGTTGAGCCTCCATGTGCATATATATATATAAATATATATACACACAGTATATCTCTCATGTCCTCCTATAGGCTTATTAACGGTGACAAAACTAAACTGTGATGAACGCTGGGGTCACAGTATTCCCATCTCCACTGCTGTTCAGCTACTTGTGGCCAAAACGCTTTTTAATGTGCGAGACCCCAGCGGTCACTTTCCACTCGCTAGATCAAGATTTAGTCAACAAGCAATATAAATCAAGCCTCTGCTTCATGTTTATCACTTAGCGGCATTAAGTTCGCCTGATGTTTTCTGCTAGAACGTTTTGGAACCTGTTGGGACGTTGTTGAGTTCATTGACTGCCTGTCGCTAAAATCCCTTTTCCATCACAAGAAGCTTAGAAACTTTCTCGCTGTAGTCCGACTCTCCAGATGTAGGTATAAGCCCACCACTGGCCATGCGTTTAATTTCTTATTCTCCTCCTCATGCTAGCTACAGCAAGTGAAAACATGATCTTGTACCTCACGACGGGGTAAAGTTTCTTGCTTTTATAGCTTTCAAAGAACACGGATGACTTGTCTCGCATCAAAACCAGTCAAAAGTAATGTTTGTTCTATGCATTTATAGCCAAATTAGGCAGCTTAGTATCTTTGTTTTGACAGTCTGAAACTTTGCCATTGGGTTAAACCACTTAGTTTTCAGCTTCAGACTTTATGCTACTTTATGCAACTTTGAATGTGGCATTTTTAGTTTATTCTGCTGCCCCAAAAGTTCACTTTTTCTAGTTGTTTAGAAATATAAAGCCCGCAAATTTACTGTTTTGCCTCAAACCGCAAAAAGTTAGCTTAACAGTTTGCCAGTGAAAACAGTTGAAGTTTTAGCTTCTTAAGGGTCACATATTTTTCTAAAGAGTCAATAGAGACAATACTAGCGCTAATATGAGATTAGAAAATGCTAGGTGGCCCAAAAAACATACTCAAATGAATGCTAATATTGCTATATAAACTAGCAACTGTGTGCTAACATGTTAGCTAAACCAACTTTATATGTCAATGTTGGGTATTTAGCTTATTCTGCTTTACCAAAAGTAGAATTTTGCTAATTGTCTAGACTTTTAAAGCCTACAAATATACCATATCGAACTACAAAAAAAAGAAAAAAAGGGAAAGTTTAACCTCCTAAAGGGCAAAAAATTTTCCAAAAAAGCAAACAAAAAAAAAACAACCCCAAAAAGAAAAAAAAAAAAGCCAAGGGGCCCAAAAAAAAAAACTAAAAGAAAGCCAAAGACCCCGCAACCCCGGGGAAAACAACCAAGGGTTGCCAAAAACGTAACCAAAACAAACTTAAAACGCAAAGGTGGGGTTTTAACCTAATCCGCCTTAACAAAAAGTGAAATTTGCCAAGTGCCCAAAATTTTAAAACCCAAAAAAAAAACAAAACCAAACAAAAAAAAAAATAAAAATAGTGCAAGTTTTAGCTTCTTAGGGGTCAGATATTTTTCTAAAGAATCAATAGAGACTTAACTAGAGCTACTACGAGAATATAAAGGACTAGCTGGCCCGAAAAAAACCTCTAAATGAATGCTAATACTGCTATATCGCTGTGTAAACTAGCAACTGTTTGCTAACATGTTAGCTAAACTGGCTCTATATGTCAGTGTTGGGTTTTTAGCTTATTCTGCCTATTCTAGTTTCATTTAGTATACAGTATACATGTAGTAAATGGTTACTACATTAATTGCACTTATTTGTCCTAATCTTGGCTAAAGTAAAACTAAACATGTTTAGTTTCTTGGTCTTGTGATGGAAAAGGGCGGCGAGTGCTACTGGTCGTGATCGTTCTGGGCCGTGAAGATGAGTCTTTCTCAAAGGGTTGCAGAAACGCAGCGCAAACACAAGAGCGACAGTATATATTTTTTGACTTCATCGTACGTACGCGAGACCACATGCCTTGGCGCAGGAAGTTAACTTTTCCCTCCTTACGCGGGACATCCACGCTCCCCGTTTCTTACCCAGTGGCAAAGTGTTGTTGTCAATGGCAGTATACAGTACAGCAAGAGCTTGAATCTTTAACTGGTCGGACGAAATGTCATCGTACAAGCACTTCACACAAATACCTCTTCAGTACGTTCCTGCCTGCTTCAGCATTTATTTATTGATTGTTTAATGACTTTGTATGACTGAATAGGAATCGCAGACACACACACACACACAAACAGAAAAGGAGGATATTTTCAAAGAAGGGTTTTTGAACAGAGGAACATTTTCTTGTCTGCTTTTACATTCCATGAGAGCTACCTTCACCCACGACCTGGGTAGTCAGTCACAACTCTGGGCCTTTTTTTTTTTTTTTTTTTTTTTTTTTTTTTTTGTGGATCTGAAGAAATGCAGATAGAAGAATGGAAACAAAAAAAAACAAGAAAAAAAAAGGAAAACTGAGCAAGAAAAGAAAGAAACGAGAGGCTAAACTCAGTTCTCAGGGACATCACTTAAAGAAACAAAACAAAAAGTAGTAGCATTAAGCATTTAAGATATTGTAAATATTAAAGTGTCAATTCAGAAAATTGTAAAGTTATAATTATTTATGATAAGTATGTTACGTGTTTGTTTCTCTTTATTTTTATGTTTTTTTTCCGGCGGGGTGTACTTGAATTGTTTTGGACGGGGGAATTTGACAGCGTTTTTTTTTTTTTTTTTTTGTAAGAGCAAAGACTTCAAGGCATTTCTCAGGTGCTCCTGTGTACATTTCTTTCAGTTTGTTTGTTTGTTTGTTTTTGCTATAATAACTATTATTATTATTATTATTTGTATTTTTGATTTTTTTTAGATTTGCAAAGAAAAAAAAAATCTGTTTTCCAAAAGGAAGCATGTGATTCAGAGGTGAGGAAATAAAGGAAGGCATTCATTTGTGAACAGATTCGTACTAAACCTATGCAGAACCACTTGGATGGTCTCGTCACCTCTTAAAGACGCCTCCTTCAAAACGTATTAGTGTTGAGACACGGTGGACCGAACCACTATTAAAAAGAGACGGGGGGAGGCAGGCGGACAAAGACGAGACCCGGCATGCTTGTATCTGGACGCTGCAACATTTAGAGGAGATGAAAAATGGTGGAAAATGCCTTTCTGACCGATCAATGTACAAAGTTTTTTTTGTTTTTTGGGGCTTTTATTTCTGTATTCATTTAATCAGGACTCAAGCCTTTAGTGTCTTCTCAGAGGTGTCGTGTCGTGTGGTGGCACCGCGGTGAGACAGAACAATACACAAATGTCAGAAACAGCAACTGTACGAACAAAAGAGGCGGCCTGTGGATGACCTTGTGTTCATTCCTCGTTGGAACTTTTTATTTTTTCGATTGCTTTCTCGGCTCCCTTCAACCTTCACCTCTGTGATCTCATTGCCATAGATTTCTATCCCCCCCCTGACCTGTCTGACGTTGTGAATCGCCTCAGTTCCTCTCACGCAGGGAGGATTTTGGGTTTGAAGCGATGCATCGAGGTGTGTGTCGGTGCTTCCTCAGTGCACTGCAGCAGCCTTTCTATCTACAAAAAATCAAAGGATGAATGGATTCCTTGGCTACCACGTTATAAAAAGAGGAATATAATCGTACCACTTGCTTAACTCAGAAGCTCCAGTCAGCTGCCTTTACGTGATGCGTTCACTGACAGCGTTACAACAAACCAGTTCCTCCCTCCGCGTTAACCGTTTCAGCCACTTCCTGAGGTTTTTCTTAGGTTTCCCTGTCTTTCTTTTGTTTGTAGGAAAGTACTATTTGCTGGTAGAGATCTAGTTCACCTACTGTTTCCCAGATTGTTTGTTTGTTTTTTTGTTTGTTTGTTTGTTTTTGGATTTTTTCTAACTTAAGGGAAAATTGAAAGTGTTTGTTGCCTCTTTGTGCTACTGATTATGAAAAAGGTATTTCCAGTATTTGTTGCCACAGAAGTATCATAGCTTATCATCAACACTTTTTTTTGTAATTTTTTTGTGCGACTTCTTGAGCTACTGTCTATAAAGCGAGAATTTATTACTATTTATGTAACGCTACTACCATTTTATATTGATTTGTGTTGGAATCTCAGTGCTTTTCTATGAATAAAGTGTGAAACACGTTACTCTGACGTCTTTTATT